CGGTCTCAGTTCATTCCAACAGATCAGTGTTGCTCTTTCTACTCTCACTGATTGCGCCAGTTTCTAAATCCACTCGGCCTCGTTTTTATAGTCTTCATATGTTCTGCTCGATCGTTTCCTTCCTCCTCCGTACACTAAAAATTCTTCTGCGAAATTGTGAACGAAGTCAGTTCTTGCATGGCTCTCTAAAAATTATTGTATGAAACAAATAAATAGGGACTACTGACATGATAATATAATCCTGTCGCTCATGTCGCATCTCATTGGTGAAACGCGAGCACGGGCTAAGGAGAAACTTTCTATTGCATCCACCTTCCAATGTAAAACAGACCTGCACATCATTTGATGTGCCAGAAACAAGCGTAGACGCAGACGATCACACGATATTGTATTATCCATGAATGAGCATGGTGTCACACTCGCACAAATTGACCAGAGTGTCAGTTGTAGGGATGCAGCTAATCGCGTATAATGAGAAGTAAACTCATTGGAAAGTGAATTTGAAGTACACGTTGTGTGGATGGATTGCGACGCGCAATCTCAAAGTAGACCGCGATTCCCATTGAAGTGAACCTTGGCCATTCGATCACTAGGACCGTAGCTGATGAAGCGGCAGCAAATTGGGTGTTACCCGCCTGAAGTAAACTCCTACTACTTTAGTTTTACCATTAATTACATCCTCTCCGTTAGTGATTTCAGAGAGACTGTTTTCTGGGAGTGTCTACGACGGTCGAGGAACAAATCAAGGCTGATCTACATAAGCCCTTGTTCCACTTTACCGCCTCATCGTTTCATCTATTAGGTTACGTGCAGGGTTTTGCTCGCCAAACACAAGCCCGTGCTTGTTGTAGTTGCTGCATCCTATCCTTCAGTGTAACGATCACCTAATCATGAGCTTCCTCTGCACTCGCTGTGCGGAATATCCTGGTGAGAATGCCGAGGCAGTGCACGCCGTTAGGCACTCCAGCTCCTGGTTGATTTAGTCAGTGCTACTACCTGGTAGTTCCTTGTTGAAGATCCCTCTGATGTCAAATAGAGAGGTTGATCAAAGGAGCAATCGGAAGAACTAATCCATTCATAAACTTCAAAGTGTGGGGCATATGACATTGCGTGAACCAGCATGATGGGCATATGCATTCCCCATAACGCTCCATATCTGGGATTTCCGCGTGGTCAAATGTAACCAGTGCACTCAACGTCCCAATGAAGACAAAGCCACACAGCAGTAGGACATGAGAGTAGCTTTCAACACTACAAATAGCATGCTGTACATGTGTGTCAACGAACTCCTAATGATGCAGTGGTGTTTCCGCAAAAGTGATAGGCCAAGAAGAACGGTCATAGAGGCGGCCAATGCTCTACTTGTGCTATATGCCTCCACAGTTCAGGAAGTTGCTCCACCGTGCGTCGTATCTGCATTTTGTTGCCCCAGCGCCAGGACGGCTTCAACTCTTTTACCACTGAAGCTGTGTATGGAAGCATACAACATTGCACGCACACAACTCCCATGAAGTGAACACTATGGGTCCAAATGCACCGGGTGCCAAACACAATGACTTAACTGTAACTTAGTACTTTCAGCAGCGTTTGGATCAGAACCATTTTCCTACCATCTAGAAGCTAGGCATAATCACTGCGGTTCAAATAGCGAAAGTATGGTAGAAGCTTCAAAGTAACGCTTCCTAATACAACTTCCGATACTGGACAGCATTACAGAACCCATTATTACCGATGCGGTGTTTGGTTACTTGGATAGATACATCCTTATTATTCCACAGAAACAGGTCATCCGTAGACAATAATCGTGCACCACAATCCTAACAGCAATTCTAGTCGATTGGACTGAGTCAATCAACTCTGGAAAGGACGTTGGCGTGAACCGTTTGGATTTCTCGAGCTAATTCTACCAACTAGATCATCCATTACTTTCTTCCAATTTCCAGAACTATTATACCGACAATCCCCTCTTTAGTCTGACTTACGAGTCCCTCATGCAATCTCAACTGGTTGGCAGAGTCCGGGTCTCTGGTTAACCCAATATATGTCAAATATGGCTTATCATGTCTGTCGTTAGCATCCGTAAATTACATCGCCCAAATTCCCCCTTCCTGCTGACGATGATGAGTTGCTATGGCATGGACTAGTCAGGGTGTCATTTTTAACCAAAAGATAAAGTAGTTGATCGTGTCAAATGTGAACTGGTCGCCTTACAACAACTTCAGTAGGCATCTATGTCCATACCATTCTGTCGAACGCAACCTTGTTTTACCGGTTCACTTGACTTGGATCATTACATGAAATTATATGGAGCATTAAAAACTGTCAACACGCACTGAAGGCATTCCGGCGCTTTATTTCTCTATTTTCTCACAATTACTGGGTACTTATATTCATTATTGTGTCCTATACACAACTCGCACCTGAGTTGATGTGGTTTCCCTATAATCTGAAAGGCTTTCGACCCTTTTAGACTATGATATTCTGCTCTCCAAACTCCTGGACTTCGGTACTGGTTATCCTCTCAAGGTGGAACGGAAGCTTTCTCCTACACGGACGCTGTGAGATACGAGTGCGTGAATCGATGTCAGACCCCATCCAAATTGTATGGGGAGTACCACATGGATCAGTACTAGTACCTCGATTATTTTTGACGTATATCAAGGATATCACACGCTTCATAAGGCTTAACTGCCTGCTTTATGCCGATGGCTTCAAGGTGTGGAGGGAGATCAATACACCAGATGTCAACCTACCTGGATAGGGTCCACGCGTGACCAATCCAGAATCTACTTCGATTTAATGTGGATAAACTCAGAATCCTGAACTTATGGAACCAGGTAGTGCTCTCCTACAAACTCAGTAACCAGGAGCTTCGAATGTCTCTTGGTGAAAAGGACCTAGGCATTCTGTTCCAGGACTTTGGATCTGTGCATCAGGCTGAAACAGTGTCAAGAAAAGGCATTAAAAAAGTGCGGCTCCTAAGGCATGTATTCGGACGATTCGACCCTCCGATTTTTTCATAGCTTTTCGGCTCATACATAAGTCCACATGTGGAACACCCAATACAAGTCTAGCAGCCATGGCTGAGGAAAGATTCCGCCGTCTTGGAGATATCTCTACACCGGACAACCAAGGATATCAAAAGTTTGTATAATTTGCTGGATGAACGAAGGCTCCGAATGCTCCGGACCCTCAGGGGGCAATACTGGCGGTTGCGTGGGGACCTCATTTTGTGACATCCCAACCACACATGCCGCCATTTGCTAGAGCTCAGTCACAACAGTAATTTGAGTATCCACCATCTCAAGCTGGCAGAACAGTACAGTCGTTTGAACTGCCATCGAACTTACTTTTCCGTGCACGTTTGCCAAGCGTCGAATGCCCTACCGGAATTTGTCCTCTGTGCTCCCACGCTGGTGGAGTTCAAACCCTGAGTTGACCGTGCACCCATTTCGCTACAGCCTCACACATGACTCCATTGCCCATGGTTAAACATGAGTGTCTGTCATAGTGTTCACTATCTGTCAACTCCAAGAATACGTTCCACTTTTTCACATGCTCTATGTGTTCACAAGTAGATGGTACAATATTTACTAACGTCCCATTTGTCGTCACTACTTATGGGCTTACAGTCGAGTTGCTGTTTTTGATCATTATACTTGGTGAGTCCACAGGTGTGAACACACTTTCGATAACAATTTTTCCCTATTCATCATGACCATCCTACGGGACCTGTTAAGCTTTAGCTTTTTACCTGCCTAAAACCATTGTTACACCATTCAAGCTGAAAGGTGTGAATTCCCCATTCGCTGAGTGATGCAGGTCCGAAGGAGACGGTTCCACGGACGGCTGTACTATTTCATTTGATCTTACTTATTATACTTCTTCTTTGCTTCGACATTTCTGTGGCACTTGTTCCTGATTATTTCATTTCCACCGACCTAGTGTCCCGCCGATATCACTCATTTGTGCCAGTCTAATTGTTACGCAAGAGACATGTCTTGTGAATTGGGGATATATCATTATATTACCTTATTATTACTAACTTCTATGGCAGCAGGACAATTCTTATAGTAACTTCGTTCCATGGCGTACAACTCCAGATCATTTTTCGAACGTCGAAAGTGAATTACTGCGGACACGTTCTGTCGTCGCTGAGATCCTGCTAACCATCTTTGAACTTTAGTCTATTGGCGTTGCTACTTCCCTATATTACAAACCAATTCAAACTACAGACAATCGTTTTTAATCCTTAGACCGTGTTCGTGAGTTTGTCTTTTATATCTTTCCTTTTTATCCGTATTCAGACAATTGCTTTGTTATCTGTATATTTTCCCACTCACTCTGTGCTCGGTGTTTTGTACAATTCCTTAATTTTCTGACGATGTCGTGATGGGCGTCTCTGAACGTCAGGTTGTCAAACACGCCACTAGAATGCGCATACCACTTTATGAGCAGACGTTTGGCTCCTCAAGACTATTATATGTGTAGTATCGCCGGCTATGTGCTGAACTAACAGGAAAACCAACTCTGCACAGCAAAACTGGAGTGCAATGTCGATTCTTGAATGTGGTACCAAAATATCAATGAGTTTATGACATCCTTTGGCTATTTTTACGAGCACTACTTTGGGATAGCTTTCCGTGAAACCGAAGCTGTGTGAAGCATCTTTTCTTTGACTGAGCCTACACTTGCCTCGGACCAATATAACATATGGAACAGCTGGTTTGGAAGCAGAACTTTCCAACTCAGCTTATGTGTTTGGTTGTGATGTCCAAACTGCGTCTTCCCTAAGCCGACAGATACGTCGCGAATGCGTAATTTTTTCTGAAATCTGCATTACTTTTAATCGTTCACATGGGTCTGTCGTTAATGTGAGGTTCCCAGATGGTCATTACTTAGTTCAAAACCAATAGGAATGATTAATACAAAAAAGCGGGTTCGGCCTAAAAGTTACTCATCAGTGACAGATACACCAGATAACAAGCGATGCAATTTACCTTGCTCCTCAATCCGCTGTCTGGGCCGGTGGCAGCATTAGCGGAATCCGTCACCGTCGCTTCTGGTACTGATCGACGAGTTCGTTTTACATACTCCACCAATGTTGGGTCTCTATGAAAAGTTATCAGGTGTGGTGCTTCGTGAAGCCAATGTTCACTCAACTGACTGTCCAAGGTGTTCCGCTTCACTCTTAACTGGTTCTCTCTTGATTCGTTCGTGTGCAATTTAGAAGTCACACTGAGCACTTGGATGGAAACCAATTTGGGGCCGTCAGTAGGCATTGCGCTGACACTTTTCAGCATATCCAGAACGGCTTGACTCAGAGGAACGTTGAACCATCCGGAAGGAAGGTGCAACAGTGCTCTTTTACTCTCATCTATGGACTGATAACACAGCGTCACGTCCGGTTCGAACCAGCCAACTGTCTGGACATCGAACCGTGCTTTTTGGTGCGGCTGGGAATAGTGAAGCCACATGAGGATTGGCCACTGATGGTATCGTGTAGCAGAATGACAACGCCTGTGTGATCTGCCTGATTTTGACCCATATGCGTGGTCACCGGGCACGTAACGAAGACGGATACTGGCAGCCAGGAGGTGTTCATTGGGAGGCATGTCGGCCAGTTGAAACAATAACCGGTGCTCTGTTGGCCTGTGCGTAGAGGATAGGTGGAAGGAACGGCGTTTTTGGGAGAGCATCTGACTGGAGTAAATTGGGTGCCACTCGGTGGTGTCTGCATTCAAGTAAACCAGAAAAGACAAGTCAAGAGGTTAGGATAATAGATTGCATCGTATCCACATACTGAAACCGAGTACTTTCGCGGGATTGCACAAGAAACAAAATGCAAGTTCACTTTCACCTCTCAATAACTGGGTCAACAACCGTTGCCTGTCATAGGTAGAATTCATCGTCGACGATATGATGTGTCACTAGGTCACTAGAGCAATAAATTACCGATGATCCAAGTAGCAGCAAGTGGTACTCCTGCGATAATCTTAGACACGACATCAGTGTATAGCTGAGCTATCGATTCTGGACACGCCATATCATTTTGTAACCTAACCATTACACTGGAAGTAGCTTATTTGCAGCTTATCGTATGCTGCCGATGCTAAAGTTGCTGCACGTTTGGTTGCCATGTCATGTGCATAATCTCTCTTGATGTAGCAGACGCGGTAAGTTATCAATGTCTATACCACAAAAGCTTTATCCCACTAAAAACGTGACGGTCCTGTTATAGCTAAAGCCATGAAATGGAGCATCAAGAGTGTCACTTTAACGAACACCAGCTTCCGTAAACAAAAGATGCATAGAACTAGAGGTGTTGACAGTGGCCAGGGTGTTCTGCCACTGGTGGGCGAAAACTAAATTTCCTTTATCAGGCCATAGGTGGGTGATTAGCTGTTGGCAGAAAGCTATCACCTTCTTCAAACAGTTGGCCCTAAGCGATTAGCGTTCAAGTATCTAGACAGAACAAGTGCGCATCATTGATAGATAAATACCCTGTTGAAGACGAACGACATTACTTTTGCCTCCGCACAGCTAAAAATAGAAAACACCTATTCACTTTGGTGATGTTTCCACACAAGTTTTACCGAAGGAATTGGATCGTTTAGATCATCTGACTCTTCTTTCCAAGCTCCACCATTACGGGATAGGGGACCATCTCTTGAGCTGGATAGCCAACTTCCTCCTGCAACAACAATTAGTGTTCAGAGTCCGGAGTACCTTATCTGAACTCATACCAGTTGAGTCTGGTGTGCCTCAGGGCGCAGTTATAGGTCCACGATTGTTTTTGATGTTCATCAGTGGACTTGCACAGGCAATCGATCCAAATTTCCTGCAGTTTGCCGACGAACTTAAGACATGGCACCGGATTCGGGCGGATGCCAATCAGAATTTCCTTCCGTGTGACCTAGATATGGCGCACGAGTGGTTAACCAGAAACCTGCGGAAGTTCGACTTGAGCAATTGCAAGGTACTCTCCATAAGACACCGCAGTGCCTGTTCCTACAAGCTAAGAACGCAAGTACTGCAACGATCATCCATCGAACTCGACGTTGGTGTGCTTGTTTGGGATAACTTGGGTTGTTCCAAACGATCCGCAAAAGCATCGAACACTGGTAACCAGCAATTCGGCTTGCTACGACAGGCATTCGAACAACTAGACACCGGTATTTTCAGACAGACGCTGAAATCGTATGTCCGCCTCCATGTCGAATACGCAATCCAAGCCTGGCAGAAATGGCTGAAGTACGACCTTACTGCACTGGACCAACCACAACGTCGGACTTCTAAATACATCATTGGCATGCACCACTTTCCATACGAGCAGAGGCTTAAACTTTTGGAAGTATTCAGCGAGCGGTATCTCCGAATACGAGGCGGCTTGATTATGGTGTAGTTGATTGCACACAATCCAAATCATGTGTGCCGCTCTGTACTACAACTCAGCAGTAACACCACACCTAGAGGCCACTCTTTGAGATGAGCAAAACAGTGCAACCGTCTGGCGTGCCGTAAAAATTCTTTTCTATTTGTGTGTCAACCATGGAATGCTCTTCCCGGATCTCTTGTTCCTGCACCCACGCTATCCATATTTAAAAGTCGGTTGGATGACGCACTCCGCCACTTACATTTTTTACTTGAAGCTACTCTTCATCCAACTCCCGGGAAATACCTTGGATTTACTTTTTTTCGCATATTGGAGCTATGGAAAATCCCGGGACTGTAGAGCTACTGCATTACATACGATAAGTACCTTCTTCTGACAGTAGAACTACTTACTGCATTTTTTCCTCAACGTTTTTCGATAACACATCAGACTACCCAACGGGAAGTGTAAAGCAATGCTTATTAACCCGCATAAAATCATTGTTCATTGCTCAAGAGATACTTGATAACCGGTGTATAATTCCGTATCAAAGATACACGATCTTCAGCTGCAAACTTCCAAAACAGCGACACCTTTATTTTTGGATTATAAAGCCTGACAAATCATTGGTGCATGTACAGGAAAGTCTCACTTTAGTTTCTTCACTGCATTTGCTTGTTCATTAAATATCAACTCTACTCCCAAACCAAAAGAAATACAACGTCTTGTTTTTCTCAAATTAGTAGTTTGCGGATATAGGCAAATATTCATGGCCATATGCTTATGGTCAAGTGTTCACTGAAAGGTTGGCAAGTAGTTACGCTGGAAGTTGTGATCTGAGACTGTTTCTCAGGACCACAGCGTGGGAAACGTTGAATAAATCAATCTATTCTGGAGGCGTAACAGTAACCGGTGAGACCGTCCACTGTACACATCAATAGTGAAGAGTTATATCCCCACTTGCCTGTAACTCGCCTTTGCCATGAACACGGACAGAGATATACATTTGTGCACAAGTGTTACACCATCGGAATAATGAAAGGAAAGCTATTGCGGTCAATCGATTGTAGTCTAAAGTATGAAGCAGATCTATTCGGCGCGTGTTAACATACTCAGTCTGTTACTAAGCCGTTCAGAAAATCCCAGAATATTTGCAGCATTTGGATACCCGTCAGATATGTTACACAGCGTCCCACGCAGAAATAGCAATTTTTATCTTAACACTAAAGCCATGTAGTGTCAGAAAGCGGATAGACCAAATGATAGGATAAAAAGTCATTAGTGTTTTCCAGGCATTTTCTTGTTTTCAGAGCACACTGTGCACGCAGCCGCGACCAGTTACCAGAAACGTTTACTCGGATAAACAGCGAGGCCGCCATTGTCTATTTCTCTCTCTTTCAAGTTCTGCTGTCTACCGTACTCAGTAAAATGGAATTGTGTACCTCGAGACTTACCCTCCACTTCTGATATTATTTAGGACCAAAAGATTCAAGACAATACTTGTTGTGCCATTAGCTCAGTGTTTTCCAGTAGGAACCATGGATGCAGTTCGCAATCCCGGAGCCGACTGCAGTTTTCTAATTCAAGTTAAATTAATGTTCAGTGCACATCAATTTCTTGGTTGCCCACTTCTTTCGATGTCATACCTTGTATGTTAGAAGCATTATAGTTATAGTGCCTAGGGATAAGCATCTAACAACTTAATTCAGTATCAGACTCTATGTTTTTGTCGTTGCTGTATCTGGTGCCCGACCATGAATTATTTCCGTTGGTTTCTTACAGCTACTCAGTAGAGAGATGAGCGGCATATTTTACGAGAGTTTAGGTGGCGGATTCAATGACAATAGTTTGCTTCGTGTTGTACTAAGAACAAGTGCGAAAGCCCGTGACATCACAAGTCAGCGCATGTTTGTGTACCAAACCTCCCTGTTTTGTAACAGAGTGTGAAAATAATTAGTTTCCTCAACCCAAGTAAGCAGGTTGCAATATGCCAACCTCACAATTCGCACCCTCAAGTGCGTTCTGAAGGGAGAACGCAACAGCAACGCTTTAGCTCTCCCAAGTCAGCTTCACTTATCTCCACTACACTACCGTGCGAACGCCGGATCTCCACATGCAAGTGGAGACTGAAAGGAAAGTCACTGAGACCACTTAAACTCTCAGCCACTCCGTAACACCTGATACATCTTATTTGATCACGCTAATCTGACACCGAGTTTTATGAACGGCTAGGAAATCCAGTCTACCTCAACTTTCCCCACCGTGCACATCCCGTCATTTTACACTGTTACTGCAGCTGAAAGCTTGTACGCTCATAGGCGGCCACATAGATGTCAATCCAAGCTTCCTGCCTTTTTCCTCACCTAAGTTCCGTTGCTCAAGACATTCGATCTCGGCTACTCATAAGTAATGTGCCTCACTTCTTGATTCTTTTAATAATGGTCATCATTCACGAATGTGTATTGCCTCTCGGATTTTGGTTGAAGCCTCCGCTTGTTTTCCCCACCATGAGCCCGCCGTCATTATGTTCTGACCGATACGCACCGTGACTAAACAACCGAGAATACCCATGAACTGATGGGAAGCGTTAGTGAAATCTCCAAAGGAATAATTTCCCCAAAAGGTCCTTATTGCATTCATTCATAAGTCCCAGCTAACGACAGCCCAGCATGCTCGCTCACGTTATACATGTGAATATGATCGGTCCCTTTGTGAGCAAGGCCTCTCAGTATCACGAGAAATAAACAATTTCAATTTCAACGCAACACCATTTTGGACAATCCGAGATGGACTGAAAAACGATATAATATCCGTCCACCTGAGCCATTACCACTGAGTTAACCAGAATTGAGGAAGTCATTAATAAATACTGTCCAATAATGCAGTTCCCATTAAGAACACGGCAGCACAGTTAACAGGATTGGGGCCGGGTGCATCTCTTAAATGTTCACGATCCACGCGTCCCTCATCACGAGCGCAGCAATAGTCGCCACTCAAGACCCGGTGTCTCATTGGCAACATTGCTTTCAGCCATATACATTCAAGATTTCGACTTGCATTGTTCATACCTTAAAATTGAAATTACTTCCAGAACTTCAACTAAGTCACTACGTCACACTGACCGCTATCCGATCACCATGCGTATGGTCTCACCATTTATACTCGCCGGATTTGTGCTTGGGTGTGAACTATAATTTACGCCTATTGTTTACTTATGCACACAATGAATAGAATGGCTTTTAACTCTTTAAGCCATCTGCAACTTTTCCTAGATTAAAAACTTATGAGAAACAATTGCTTGGATGAATTTTCCATGCTCTACGGGTCGTCCTCGTCCACAGTGACCGGCTACATAGCTA